TTTAATCCAGCTGTTCAAAATGTTTTAGTGTGAATTATATTTTATAGCATGACGTGCATCGTTTACGACCGTGCCACACTCACGCTTTACAATAGAGGCATATTGCAGAATCTCTCTCCATGTTTATAGTACAGCTAAAAGGTATAGGTATAATTATTAAGAGTATTTAACTTTTAAAATCTTTATCTATAAGAACACATCATAATATATATATGTAATTGTGCTGTATTCTTTCGCAAGTGGATATACAATTGTGTTTTCTCTCAAATTCTAACGTGCAGCGAGTGATGTGACATAAAGTGATGTGACATGGCGTAACGAGCTTAAACTGCATAGTTTAAGAATGTTTCTTTGCTACTACTTGTTTGATATAACACGTCATACCTGTGATACTTTGCCTCAGCTCTAATGTTCTCGGCGCGCTTCGACGCTTCATCGCTTAACGATACAAGACAGACTGACATTATGTGACAGGATTCACAACGGCTCGGGTTGCGCAGTGATTGCACAGTCATGCCAGCAGACACCCTTAAGCTTAAGCATTAATAACACTCCGTATAAACACATTCGTGGAAAAAATTTCTTAACGTACATGGGCGTCCGACTAGGAGTACAGAATCTGAGAGACTTTAGCTGTATGTCAATTTTGTAAATAGTCCAGCCCATTGCACGAAATCTGGAAAATCTGACCCTGGTCTTCAGCGTGACAAACGAACGCTTACAATTCCGACCAATGAAAAGGACGTTCGTGGACGTACATAATTCTGTCACTTGTCTCAGTCATGCGTCACTTGGGGCTTTCCCAGGCCTCCATTTAGCTGATGCACCATAACACCAATAAAACATTTTCCTAATCCACCTCACACACATTATAATTAATCAATACTTTCGTGTTCCTTCTTTAACTTTAACGTGCATTTAGCTTCAATAATTTATCATTGATCAACCTTTTCAGTCGAACAAATTGTCAAATAAAACCATTTGTCTTGTTAGAGATTGTTACAAGATTTAAAAGAAAATCCCAGAATTTCGATTTTTACAAATATAACACCTTTGATCAAATTTCAACATCAATAAAAGCAATTGAAAACCCTTTGATCCGAAAAGTAAAATATGACATTTTGTGACATAATGCATTTTGAGTAAACATTACAGTTTCCATCGATTTCTATGATTGCATGTTTCTCGTCATTGTAATGAACCTTTTGTTGATTGTACATAAATAATATCTGTCATTGACTCGATGACAGGAGATCAAAGCTGTGTAATGTTTTCATATCCACATTCTGTGCAGATGTATAGTGCCATTAGCTTTTAAAAATGGCCTGTTGGACAAGCACGCAATACGTTTGATATACGCTGATATCGGATGCCAAGTATGCAACTATTTTATGAAGGTTTCTTTTAAAATTGGTTCAGGCTACTTTTGAATCAACGGGATGTTGCAAGAAATATATATAAGTGGGACCAAATTAACCTTGCATAAATACAAAATAAAAAACGAAATCAAAACAAACAAACCCACAAGAACCATACAAATGCATTTGTATAGCATGACTAGTCTAAAATAAAAATGCATACCCATGGTACTCTCATTCCACATCGACAACTGGAGATACATGTCTTCGGGGTACGAACTGCCTAGTGTTAAAGTACAAGGCGCTGCAATTTCGAGGCAGGTATGTCACCCGAATTCGAAGCCACATCAGGATTCATGCACTTATCCAATGATTTTGGGTTTATGAGCATCGTTTTCAATGATTATGTGCAAAAATCGGCTTTCCTCGCACAATAATATAAGGCTAATACATTTTACTGTAGCAGTGTCCACACATGTATGAAGTATCCGCAACAGATGCGCCAATTAACTCAAGGTCGTTAAAAATCGATATTGTTAACGATGATCTGACATGAATAGCTGTGTATCGTTTCGTATGCAGATGATGCAAAGGAATTAATGATCATGGTAGGTACTATCCGTTGTCAGGACTGGCTCACCAGTTTCACACCTGGTGTCATAGGCTGTCATTTTAATGAATAATTTATTGTGTAATTTATTTGAAGTCCAACCATGTAACGTCAGGAACCAAACGCCAAGTTCATTGCAGATTGCAATACTTGAAGATCTCTAAATAGTTTGATGACATCCATACTATGATTTGATTTGAACATGGATTGCTCGCCTGTAGCAAATTTCCTTGAGTATATTTTCAAGTATCAATTAATCATCTTGTAATTGTGTACGGATCCATCTGATTGCATGTATGTAGAGAGGTGACAGTGTAGGATATAGTGTGTCCTTCCAGAAATATGGAACTTGTATTGCCATATGCGATTTACGTGAACGCTTGGTTTCATCAGTGTTTGATAATGATATAGTCGCGAATCGCACAATCGATTCCAGAAGCTATTTCGTTGAGCAAGGACCATGAAAACTTTATGACATCATTACAGTGTGTATTTCACATGCGTTAATGAGGTAATGAATGGTGACGTTAACAGTCCATCTGTAAATGTTCATGAATCTCTACATGAAGGTCCATAAACCAATGGATACAAGTTTTTGCCTTTTACATGGAACGTGAAGTATATTTTGAATGAAAAACATGACATGTGTTCGCATTTGAAGTTGATACACTGTTTAATTCAATATAGTTACGACTGCTCATTTAGACATACACATGTATAAAAATATAAAAAAAACACGACGGTTCATTTAAATATTTATATGACTATTCGTGTAGAAGTAATTATCACTATTTTTATTGAATTTCATTTGTGTTTGGGCTTTGAAATAGAGATGGATTTAAATGTCCCAAGGTTTTAACGTATTAGTTACAGGAAGATCTGTATCATGAATTTTGGCTGCATAAGAACGCAATAGATGAACACAATCCGATGCTGCAATAATTTGGATATCAAGTTAGTAATTTGTCTCATAATCAAATATAAGTAATGTTCTGACAATGGTAAGCGCGAAATCCTACATTTGTACAAACAGATCACACGTGGGTATGATAGCTTAGCAAGACCTAATTTCAAATTCTTTGCCTTCCAGGTATTTACATTGCGAGTCCAGATATTCCAGAGGCTGTTTGTGGGATATTGATGAAATTAGGTGATATATTTCTGTTCAATACCCTATGGAAATATTTGAAAATATAAACGTTGACTAAACACAATAACAGGTTATGTTTTACTCTTTTAGCTTAATAATAGAAAACTTCATCCTTTGAAACAAAGAGATGCTATGTTACATTGACTAATAAAAATGTGTAGTAAAATGCATCCTCATCACCATCATTACCTTAATTATCACTAGTATTAGGATTTGTCGTCTTTAATTGTTGTAGGCAGCTCGTCATGCAGGTACTTTTTAAACAAAGTACAACTATTGCCTTCTCGCTTTTTCATAACCTTGTCCAAAACATACATAAGTGTAGAACTGGGAATATATGAGATCACTCATTACATGGTAAAAAGAAAAAAATATCGTTATTAACTCCGATCATTTGATTCAACGCAAGACCAAATAACCTCATAAATGGTGGTGTATCCATTTTGAAATCAGCTTCATCATGGCGGATAATGGGTCCGATTCCTCGCGTGTGTACAATATGTTAGGCGTTCGTTTGATATCGTACGCTACTTTGATGTTTGATTATTTTTTGTTTAAGTCCCGAAGTCCCACATTGAAAGACCATGCGCGATTACAGAGGGCATGTGCGTGTTTAACGCGGTACTTAGCAGTAGTCAGGCTATATGACAAAAACTTAGGGATTGACTGTGTATTTGTTTCGGTTCATTGAGGTATGAATCGAAAAAAAAAATGTGCAAACTGTATGAATCCGCGTAGTGAATTCTTGCAAAAGTTTGCACATCGGTTTTCGATTCATACCTCAATGAACTGATAAAATATACAGCCAATGCTTATAATTAATACGATAACGAAAACATGTTTTATCTACAATGATTTAACCACAAACAGTTGTATGTATCAAAGCAGACAAAAATGACGAGATAGATAAACATTCCAAGTGTATGAATACATTCTGTGGCGTGTCATGGATCAGGTGATTGTTTAATTTATGCACATAACGTGACACACCTACAAAGTCAGTAGCCATTCAACTTCATAGGACCTTTCAATCAAGGTAAGAGGCGAGAAGAACTGCAAGTCAGACTGTAACGAAGCGGAACAAATATGTCCGGAGAAAGCGGCTGTTTCAAATGGTCAGCCACCGCCAGATTCGAACATAAGTTCGCTGAGAACGGGAAGACACGGTTGGAAAAATGATATTTACAAATGAAACCCGATGACATGAAAGTTGTGGAACCGAGGCGATAGTCTCACATTGCGGTAGTTAAAGAAAAGACGCTGCTCAAATTGAAGCCCTTTTCCCTCCACATTCTCAACGTTCTTTATCAGAAGTGATTGGTCTGTGTTCGGTCCGACTTGTCCCGGGCTGTTAAAATCAATTTTAAACTCACAGATGTGTCATCAAATGTGCCACAGTATATCGAATTTTAAGAAAACTGGCCCGTTAAAGTCAAGCACTTTTACTGTATTTTCTCCACCAATCTCTGTCAGAAGTGTTCGGTCCGACTTGGGATGTCAATATCAACTTAAAGCTCACAGATATCTCTTCAAATGTGTTAACATCTTGGTGCTCAAAGTGAATCCCTTTTCCCTCTACATTCTCAACATAGTCTATATCTGCCGGTTTTAAATACATCTTTGGCCACGACGCGGTCTCCCAACTAACGACCTCTCGCTTCACAGACAGAGGATCTAGTCTGGGACAAGCAGACAGCTATGATGATAACTGTGTTGAGAAAACAAAAAATAAATTCACGGAGTAAGCGGAAAACATTTCCCAGGACATCCAGTGTGGCATATCAGCATGAGATAATTTATTCCGTCACAGAAGCCAATGATTGGCTGGAGTCTGGTCTTCGGCGAAACGAGAAACAATCACAAGCATGTAAATAAGACCAAACATATGACTGATTCTGATGTATTTAATTCACATTGTTCAACCTTGCCCTTCAATGATAGTATTCACACACCCCACACCCCCACCCACACACTTATGGACATGTAGGCGAAACCATGGCACAGATTTTGTCGTTGTCGTTGAAGACGAGCCCAAGAGGACAGGGTCTGTTGTCAAAGATGCGACCGGCGTGACATGTTACGTACACATTGCAGCCGTTGCAGGATTGGTGATCGCCGTCGGCCACACCGTAACAGGAACTCACGCATCTCGTTGGTGGCCTAGAAGGTAAAATGGTAGAGTCTAACACTGCATAATGACATCATGGGACCACCTACCTGGGTGAGTGCGTGGGGTGCTGGATGGTGAAGCGAGCGGGAAGGTGAAGGGAGAGCGGGATGGTAAAGGGAGCGGGATGTTGAAGGAGAGCGGGATGGTGAAGGGAGATCGGGATGGTGAAGGGAGCGGAATGGTGAAGGAGAGCGGGATGTTGAAGGAGAGCGGGATGTTGAAGGAGAGCGGGATGTTGAAGGAGAGCGGGATGGTGAAGGAGAGCGGAATGTTGAAGGGAGCGGGATGGTGAAGGGAGCAGAATGGTGAAGGGAGCGGGATGGGGAAAGGAGCGGGGTGGTGAAGGGAGCGGAATGGTAAAGGGAGCGGAATGGTGAATGGAGCGGGTTGGTAAAGCGAGCGGGATGGTGAAGGGAGAGCGGGACGGTGAAGGGAGCGGAATGGTGAAGGGAGCGGGATGTTGAAGGAGAGCGGGATGTTGAAGGAGAGCGGGATGGTGAAGGGAGCAGAATGGTGAAGGGAGCGGAATGGTGAAGGGAGTGGGATGGTGAAGGGAGCGGAATGGTAAAGGGAGCGGAATGGTGAATGGAACGGGTTGGTGAAGGGAGCAAGATGGTGAAGGGAGCGGAATGGTGAAGGGGGCGGAATGGTGAAGGGAGCAAGATGGTGAAGGGAGCGGAATGGTGAAGGGAGCGGAATGGTGAAGGGAGCGGAATGGTGAAGGGAGCAGGATGGTGAAGGGAGCGGAATGGTGAAGGGAGCGGAATGGTGAAGGGAGCGGGATGGTGAAGGAGAGCGGGATGTTGAAGGAGAGCGGGATGTTGAAGGGAGCGGAATGGTGAAGGAGAGCGGGATGGTGAATGGAGCGGAATGGTGAAGGAGAGCGGAATGGTGAAGGGAGCGGGATGTTGAAGGAGAGCGGGATGTTGTAGGAGAGCGGGATGTTGAAGGGAGCGGGATGGTGAAGGGAGCGGAATGGTGAAGGGAGCGGGATGGTGAAGGGAGCAGGATGTTGAAGGGAGCGGAATGGTGAAGGGAGCGGAATGGTGAAGGAGAGCGGAATGGTGAAGGGAGCGGGATGTTGAAGGAGAGCGGGATGTTGTAGGAGAGCGTGATGTTGAAGGGAGCGGGATGGTGAAGGGAGCGGAATGGTGAAGGGAGCGGGATGGTGAAGGGAGCAGGATGTTGAAGGGAGCGGGAAGGTGAAGGGAGCGGAATAGTGAAGGGAGCGGATGGTGAAGGGAGCAGGATGTTGAAGGGAGCAGGATGGTGATGGGAGCGGAATGGTGAAGGGAGCGGGTTGGTGAAGGGAGCAGGTTGGTGTCGGGAGCGGAATGGTGAATGGAGCGGGATGTTGAAGGAGAGCGGGATGGTGAAGGGAGCGGGATGGTGAAGGGAGCGGGATGGTGAAGGGAGCGGAATGGTAAAGGGAGCGGGATGGTGAAGGGAGCAGGATGGTGAAGGGAGCGGAATGGTGAAGGGAGCGGGATGGTGAAGGGAGTGTGATGGTGAAGGGAGCAGGAAGATGAAGGGAGCGGGTTTCACATGGATGGTGAAGGGAGCGGGGTCGTGAAGAGAGCTGAATATGAAGGGAGTGATATGGTGAAGGGAGCGGGATGGTAAACTCCTGCCTAGCGAGGCTAGACTAGATTCATTGTAGTGTTGCTCTTTCGCTGAGGGAGTGGAATGGTGAAGGGAGCAGAATGCTGAAGGGAGCGGGATGATGAAGGAGAGCGGGATGGTGAAAGGAGCAGATGGTGAAGAGAGCGGAATGGTGAAGGGAGCGGGAAGGTGAAGGAGAGCGGGGTGGTGAAGGGAGCGGGATGATGAAGGAGAGCGGGATGGTGAAAGGAGCGGGATGGTGAAGGGAGCAGGATGGTGACGGGAGCGGGATGGTGAAGGGAGTGTGATGGTGAAGGGAGCAGGAAGATGAAGGGAGCGGGTTTCACATGGATGGTGAAGGGAGCGGGGTCGTGAAGAGAGCTGGATGTGAAGGGAGTGATATGGTGAAGGGAGCGGGATGGTAAACTCCTGCCTAGCGAGGCTAGACTAGATTCATTGTAGTGTTGCTCTTTCGCTGATCTATTTGCTTTGTTGAACGTAACCCGAGACCCAGCTGTGACACTAGGAAAACACCTCTCTAATCACTCACACAATGTAATAAACTGTCATTGTTAACGACTCATAAGTAGTTGATAGTGCTCTGCTTACGGGATATCAATAGAGGGGTGGGGTTGGGGTGGTTGTCGCAACGTTTGTCAGTCTCAGGTGTGTGAGTGAGATGGGTTTAACGCCGCTTTTAACAGTATTCACGGCGTGTCAGCTGAGGGAGGAAAGCCTGACGTGATGCAGGTCTCAGATGATTACCACTTTTGGCGAAGCCCACAAGCATGGTATGGTCGTGACAAACCTAGAAACATATTCGGGGAGAGCCGGGATTCGAACCCACAGTCATAGGATTTTGGCGGGCCAAGGGACGCAACTCTGTATAACTCTTAGAAGCCTGGGCCAAAAAACAGAACATTCTCATGAACCCGAATGTGATTATTTGTCATTCCCTATCCAAACCTAATCAATTTGAAATTATGTGATTATTGGTATTATTAATATTTATACAATCGTGTTTATATTTCTTGTAGAGACAAAGAAAAGATGTAGGAAACACAAATACGTACATACACCCGAAACACAAGTGTCAAAATTTGTGGTGTCACCCTGGGCAAGTGACTTAGATCAAATGTGCCTCTGTTCACCCAGGAGGGAATGGGTGCCCGATAAGTGAGGTGGATGTAAAAACCCTCGGGTGCCCGTAGGCAGATTGGGATGTATAAATATGGCATTTTGGGTGAAATGAAATTGTCATAAAAACGAATTACAACCTTGGTCAATAAAATGTATAAATCTAAGTATTTCAAGTAAAAGCACAATTGAACTCAAATTCCTGAAATAAATGCCATAAATATTAGCCAGACAACGTCATATGCATATCCTAATCCTGAATTGAAGGAACGTACGTGGTGGTGCAGGTTGACGATGTATCTTCACAACGTTTGACGGAGTCGTCCCACATGGTGTTCCCGACACATTTCCTCTCGTACAGCATCTCTCCCAAACACGTGGCGAAACCGGTGCACCCCATGCACGACTGATAGTCCCCATCCGGTATCCTCGTACAGTTGGACATGCACGGGGTCGATACTATCTTCATGCCTGTTTATACAAAATACAGATATCTTAACTGGTCCCAGACACTTGCTGTTAACATATTGTTAAGGGATCGACCAGTTGATATTCTGTGGCCTGGGATTACTTTAAAAAAATCAAATGTTATAAAAATAGGTAAATGTTTTTCTCTACTTTTAAAAGAAGAAACATGTTTTGATATCCTAAATAATATTGTTTCCCAAATATCAAATGGTTGGCCCTTAAGTAAAAGTGAAAGTGGGATTTAACGTTTTGCACTTTATAGCCTGCGTGCGTGTGTGGCTGCTTGTACTTGTCCGAACTAATGCCGATTTCATAGTGCTAGCCCACTGAGATACCATGCCACAGTTTAACATGAATACTCAGACACAGTATACTCATTCCGAGCCGACCAGTCCTTGTTTTAGCCCCTCCATATCGAGCGTCTGACAGGGTAACAATAAGTAACATATTTTAACGTCTTTTGGTATGACGCGGCCGGGTATCGAACCCCGAGCCTTCCGCTCACTGGGCGGATGCTCTACAACCAGACCACGGAAGCGGTCGGTCCCTTTGTGATGCGTAACGAGATAGTTATCATATTAAAATGTTAGACGGTCTAAGGTAGTACCAAATTGTCACAATGTAATTCCCTTTCTGTCATCAGTACAATATTTTGATTAAACGGAATTTATACATATTGTACAAAGACCATCCACTCAAGCAGTTTAAAACAAAGCCGATCAATTTCCACCTTTAAGGTTCTTGAATGTATCGCTTCCACTCCATCACTCATCCACCAACTACTCATACAGCTTCGTGCTTCAACAATATTGTTCCGAGGGGATTCTGGGTTAGAGTGAGTGAGTGAGTTAAAATGTAACGTTACATCGGCAATATTTCGGCCATATCGTGACGAGAACTGACACATTATACAGAGGTTTACATGGAATAAAAACCTGTCGGCGAAGGACAGTAGAATAACTAGAGTATCACAGTTTCGATTTTAAAACTAGATGAGAACATTTAAAAAGAATACATTTTTCTATCAACAATACAATATAAAAATGGGCTTTAAATCACCAGCAACTAAAGTTAGGCCGCCTTACTAGGGACCGTGGGGACTTACAATACTTATGCTACCTGCACGGTTCCCCAGCAGGATTTACACCATGCCTTCAGCTGCTGCTGATGGTACGCAATGGAGCCATTAGTTAAAATAGGTCCCAAACAAACTCTGGATTCGAGGTCAGATTCGCCGTACCCGAGTTTCACTATATCGATCACTGCATTGTCTGGTTCAGACTCGATTATTTACATGCAACCGTCATATATCTGGAATATTGCTGAATTTCGCCGTTTTATCAGCAGATATTCGTACAGCTTAGACGCAGACATATTTCACGAGCATTTCAGTGAATTCGCCCCAACACTCAGAATATTCCGCGACACACAATCTTTGCATTTCCAAACGTGTTATTCTGTTATTTCAGTTTCGATCGTTTCCCTTTATTCAAGGCAAGCGTGAAGATCCAAGGAGTACCTGTACTTCTACATGTGTTATAGACTGTGCACGAATATTGTTTTATGCCTCGTTAAGACATATCCCATCCATGTCACAGCTTGATTGACACACAGTACACGTTATCACGTGAGGAATCGAACCCGGGCCTCCGGAGTGTCGACAAACTCTTTAATCCACCGGGCCACCCTTCTACCATGTTTGACGAAGTGACTGGGTATAATTTTACTGGATTGGATCTAATCATTTTGAATAATAGGACCTAATCGTTTAAAATAGTGCGATCTGATCGCAGTGAATAGTAGGATCTTATTATTGTAAACATTAGGATCTAATCGTTGTAGTTAGAAGGATAAATTCTGGTAAATACTATTCGGATGGATCACATTTCACCGTTAAGGTGTTAAAAGACAAATTAAGTCCTCAACGTAAGGACTTAAAGGGATTAGAAATTACAGATTATAAAGGGTAGATTAGAAATTACAGATTATAAAGGGTAGATAATCTGTAATTTCTAATCCCCCGTGCGTTACTACTCATTTTATGCACAAGTGCATTTAATGCAATGTACCGTATATAATGTTTTATTGACACAACGCTATAATGTGTGAGTGAGTTAAAATGTAACGTCGCATCGGCATTATGTCGGCCATACAGCGACGAGACCAAGTTAATATATTCCCAATTGAGTCATTTATGCAAAGTTATATCTAAAAACAATTTATGAAGCATTTGAGCATAACAATATCATGTATACAGTTTTAAAACCAGCTGGCCAGCTCGCTAGGGATCATGGGGGCTTACAGTACTCTGCTTTCTGCATGATACACCAGCAGGATTCACGTCATCACTTTAGCTACCGGTGGTTGTGCTCAATACTAGCCAATATAAAAAATTCTCAGCAGTGAGTTGGCTTATACATAATTTTATATCTACCATATTTTCTACACAATGAGGACACATTATTTAAGCGTGATCATCCGGGTAATCATGGGTGTAGACCAAGGCATTGTCTAATAAATGGCCGCATCCATTCAGTGAAACCAAGATGGCGGACTCAGTACGTGGGAAATATATGTGTATATGACTTTTCAGGTGTCCTGGTTCATTTTCAGGAAGCTTATAAATGAGCGGTGGTCGTAACAGAAGTTTTTCATTTCGTGGATACAGAATAATTAATATGCCAGCGAGATACCTCCCACTGTTAACATTTGAACATCAACCACATCCACCACGTCTACAAGAACCACCACATCCACACAGTGTTTGTACATGTTGCATGACTTGTCTCTCATTCTAGACAGTTTTCCAATGATTCGAAAAAGTACATTCAGAAAACGATTTTTCATTCATAATTTATCACGGAAATACCAATTTCCTCCCTCCCTTCCTCAACCCTCCCTCATTCACTTCAAGGACCGTTGAGTCCTGCCTTGTCCGCGTTATGGCACTTACCAGATGTGACGGCAGCGAGTCCCATCATGATGACACTGAGTGAAGAGATTACGGCCTGCATAGTTAGTTATCTGAAAAGAGACACAGACGTTTTTACCAACATCGCGGCCCGTGAAGATCCGGTATAGAATAGGTCTTCAGCAAGCCATGCATGCCGTAAAAGGCGACTATGCTTGTCGTAAGAGGCGACTAAGGGGATCGGGTGGTCAGGCTCGCTGACTTGGTTGATGCATGTCATCGTATCCAATTGCGTGGATCGATGCTAATGTTGTCAATTACTGGATTGTCTAGTCAAGACTCGATTACTTACAGACCGCCGTCATATAGTTGGAATATTGCTGAGTGCGGCGTCAAACAACAAACAAACAAACAAACCAAAATCGCAATATTCACAATATCGGGTGAATGATGAGTATTTGAACAGAATACTCTCACCACTAGACTACCCCACCGCCCCTGATCTAAACTGCCTGGCAAAAGAAAGTATCCACTTCAAAATTGAATTGGCCAAACATTTACACGTTATCAAAACGTTACTGCTCTGAAAAGGCCGCCAAAACAAAAACTTAAGGTAAAAAACACAACTATAGTACCTATATCAAATACCTCACAATCGGACCCGAGAAGATCCGGGTTAGAACAGGTCTTCAGCAACCAATGCTTGTAGAAAAAGGCGACGAACGAGGGGTCAGACTCGCTGACTTGCTTGATGCTATCGTATATTAATTGCGTAGATCGATGCTCATGATGTCAATCGTTGAACTGTCTGGTCCAGATTTGATTATTTACAGACCGCCGTCATATAGCTGGAATATTGCCGAGTGCGGCGGTAAACAAACAAACGTCACCAACGCATAACCGTTTAGCGTTTGTTTCATTTTAGCTACACACTGGTGTATTATTTATTTTACCCGGCAGTTTACATGGTACATTTTGAGCAACTGTTTTACGTCTTGACTCCTGCTTGGACAGTCCCCTCGTTTAAGATTTTGAGAAATGACCCATCTGTGTGCTTTTAGCGAAGGCGCAACCCGCTAATGATGTATATGACAACTTACCTTGATATCTCCTTGAACAGACAACAGAGAGGAAGCTAAGACCTGTATGATGCTTGCCCAGCACAGGCTCCTTTATACTACCCCCTTATACCCCCGAGCAGAGTTAGGCCTGATATCTCTGAGGTGTAATAACCATTATACTCTTGTGTTGATTAAGAGTAATTATGACGTAAGGATAAGTATCGATGTGCTCATCGGTGATACAATACGGTATCTGTGGCTGAATATTAACGCTTGTTAGGTTCGCCCGAGGCGGGATAGATATGGATTTCTTCATATATTTTACAAATTCCGCGTTTTAGTATTGGTGAACACACAGTGCCATTAAGAAAGTGGTCAAGTGTAACAAATGTTATATTTGGGACAACACTTTCTTAGTAAAGTACAAATTCTAGTACTTTTTGGGGTTGAGTCCCATCCGGTTATTTCATATTCGCTTGTCCAAAATGGACAACAAGTGTTAAAACGATTTCAAATTACAAAAGGTACAGTATGAAAAAGACTCATTTGGCCGACTAGATGACTTAACTAAATGTGTGATACTTTTCGAAAATGAAGGTTTAAACACAATTTTTAAGCCATTAATCTAAATAAAAGCATATTTGTCCGATAAATGTATTTTTGTATTCCACAAGACAGTACACACACATGGTAAAACATTCCTTTACGGTCACAGATCAAAATATTTAAACTCTTAAACATTTGCCCTAGTTTTGACCTGGCCATAGTACTCAAATTTGCCAGTTATCACAGTTAAAATCTATCATGCATATGGCAGGTCTTCCACAGGGATCGGTCCTAGGACCATTAGTATTTTGTATCTTTATAGTAATATACGTCTGTTTACAGACTATACGTCACTTTACATAATTGTCGAAGATCCTAACGCAGCAACACATAATTTAAATGCTGACCTAGAAAGTATCTCCGTATGCGCATAAATGGCATGTAACGTTTAATCCAGACGAAAACCGAAACCATAATGGTTTCACCAAAAATGAACCCAAGCCCTTTACCTGTTTTTTTATATGAAAGGTACACCAATAACAGATATCTCATCGCACAAACACCTAGGTCTAATTTTACAGCAAGAAGGCTATTTATTGGTCAAATCATATACTAGTCGATAATATTGTACACACAGGTAACGCCAATAAGCAACTGCTTCAGAACATACCACCTGTCCAAAACCGTTAGAGAATGTATATTTAACATACCACCTGTCCAAAACCGTTAGAAAATATATATTTATCATACCACCTGTCCAAAGCCGTTGGAGAATATTTATTTATCATTTATTTTTACATTTAGTTTTGTGATTAAATATGGGATAATTGTTCTCAAGAACAAGTATGGTTATTGGAAAGGCACAATTTTGGAACACCAGTCATAGGATATACTCTGAAACAAAACTATACACCCTTATCCAAAAGACGGCAATCTCATAAATTAAAAAAAACAGAAAATGTTTACCAAGTTGACCCCTGAATATCTATGTAATATTGTTATTATCTTATCGGGTGCTCTATACAATTGAAGAACCTCTTCACAGCTACAGAGTGTAAATCCTAGAACATCAGCGCCTTTTAATGAATACACTGTCAAAGTGTTCCTATCAATTCGTATCAGCGGCCATCAAGTAGCAAGACATAATATCGACATTTATCATCCCTATGGAGATGTACACAGATGACAGGAACATATTCTACATGTGCCTCACATTATCAGATCGTACCTTTCTACATCTTCTCCACATAAAGTTGACGTTAAGTGGTTCTTTCTTCTCTGCAATGGCAAAATCCTTTAAATATAAACTTAGTTGCAAGTAACATATGTGTTTGAATCTTCCAGCCATACATATCCTTCTTGTATTCATGTTCACGAGACGCCTCTTTTATTGTTAACGAAGGAAACAGATCTTGTCTTTTTATGATATCTGTGGACAGACAGACACATGTGCATATGTGCAATAACCTTAAACACGACGGTAAACCCCATTCACCTCATCTCACCCGTCAATCAACATTATTGTCTTGATAATTGTGTATATGACGTTTGCTTGTTGTTTAACGCACCACTCAGCAATATTCTAGCTATATGACGGCAAGAACAAAAATAATTAATTAATTAGAAGCTGAGCTTAATGTCGAAACGTGTATGCCTCTGAGAACAATCAATGAGGATCATGAACTTATTATGGTATCATAGTAATCACGACCACAAATCTACTTGTTCAACGATATTTTGGAGTCGTTAAACATTTGATCATTCATACTATGTAACATAGGCTTTTGTTGAAGTCATTTTGATTTGCTTCATACTTTCAGGTTGTCTTCTGTGATTTGTATATGATACAATGATAAATGATACCTTTGGGAAGCTATTTGTATTATCATGGGCTGAACAACAACCACATTTACAAGCACATAAGGAATCTTGACAGATTTAGTTCAGATTAATTTAAAAGCTAAAAAGCTGTTTCCTTTATACTTGTTTGTAGCTACATGCGCTAGAATTGATATAACATTCTCAGTGTGGTCATGGACTTTGATAAATTGAAAATAAACATGGAATTTTGTAAAAGTCAAGGATGTGATCTAATTGAGTAGAGTTGAAGAATTCCACTGACAAAAGCATTGATTCATTCTAATGGTATCAATATGAAGGAACTAAAAGATATTTGTTGGCACTGAATGGTTTGAAAAAAATCTGTTCAAGGCAATTGCCAAAACCACGAAGATAAACATTTTTATTTAATATCATTTAATTGTGTGAACGTAGTGTCGACATAATTGTAATGTTGAGGTGTTTTGAAACTAAATAAAATGTGCAATTACAAACCAAACACTGAGACTAGAATCAATAACGTACTTGCGTCTCAAAATAAGATCTGAGCCATTAAGTCCTAATGGACAAAAAATAGAAAAAAACAACCTGACGGCAGTTATTTTTCTAGGAATTCGACTGCGATTGAGCCGCCGTAATGGGAGCAAAGCTCAGAGGGTTAGCTGATGCAAGAAGACTTGTGACCATCCTTCAATTAGAACAAAAACATCTTTTATATACATTTCTTCAGAAAGAGACACGCCTTTTCCGGTTCGAGTACGATGTATCATTAATATGCTGCAAATGAGGTGTAAAACTCGGTTTCCACATTATTTATCACATGAATCAGGTTTGTTTCTTTTATCTTTTCTTCCAGTAAATGTGTTAAATTCGTGGTTGGCATGGAAACTCTTAATATATACTTTTCAAGTATGGGATACGTACATGTACCTGAAACTAAATTTAAGGTTTTCCGAGGCTTTCTGTAGATTATTGAATTTACACCATGAATGACTAAAAAAGAGAAATGTTACACAACAATATAGCCGTAATGGTGCTTGTAACTTTGTGGAAATTAGCTTCAGCTAAAGTTATAACATCTACACAACAATATTTTTTAAATTTGAAGTTTACACGATATACAGTTTTTCAATTGGACGAGAGGTCGGTCACTTGACGAAGTGTATGAACGACACAATTTGACGTTCATACGTTTTTCACGAGACCGTGTTCTTGAAATGACGTCAACACTGACGGACTACTTCCACATTCCTGGGGAAGCCCCTGGGAATTCCTTAGCACGAATACGTACATAAGCGTTCTTTCTGATTATTTAGGCCCTTTATAAGCTTGAACTCAGCGTTTTAGTATACATTGAGAAACGTCAGAGTTTGACTGCACGATCGTTCACGAAGATCCTCGCTACGACCCATCCTAGTGAACTAAACGGAGAAATGTACATCCAAACTATGGTAGTATCGACTCGATCCGTGTCTCGGCTGTCAGTGACTGTCTACAGCAATCTATGACTTTACTTTAGTGTCTATTTGACACATGCTTAATCACCTTTCAATGATCGGCCAATAGATCAATGATGACTAAAACATGTAACCGCCAAGGGTTCATCAGCAAATCCCGAAATCTCTCCCGTCACGTTTATCGTGTCGGCCATTTTGACGTCTTGTACTGAAATGAAATGTATTACGACGCGCTGTCATTGTGACTGACTGACTGAAGTAGTTCTTAACAGACCTTTCTCGTCTAATTGGGATATTATTTGAATACAAGTCATGTGTTTCTGAAGAGCAAGTTGTGCATTCATACGATCATGTCACCTCACTTTTTGAGGAACTATTTTATTGCGCGATATAACTGGTTGTTGTATGGCTGTCATTGTAAACATGAAGTCACACGTACGAAATAAAATTGTGTATAGATCTTGGCCTACATCTTTGAGGTAAGAAATTGTGATAAAAAAATATAAGAATTGACTTTCACTTTGTGTGAGTTCATGGAAGTATGAACCTTCATAGAGTGAGGGCCAAACTGTATGAACGTCGGAGCTTAAATGAACAAAATGTCCTTTAATCATAAAATTTAAACACTATTCGAAACTGCGCTTTCACAAGTTATTGAACATTAGTTTGAGTCTGGTGACATGTATTCTTCTAGTCCCTGCATATCAAATTTGTTCCACTATTTGTACTCTTATTTAAACAGAAACGAGATACACATCTTAAATCAATTATTCAATAGCTTTTGCTTAACGTCACCTTTATGTGGAAGAATGTACATATATATGATCTGATAATGAGAGCCAAATGTAAAATATGCGCGGAATCCGATTAAATTTGTACATTTCCATAGGGATGATAAATGTCGATGTTACGTTTTGCTACATATGTACTTGTAGTTCAGTGGATATATTCAATATAACTCTGTGCCTTATGTCACAAAAACATGAAACTAATGATAGCTCAGTGTGTGGACATGCTTTTAGGTGGGGGCCATTTTCATGTCCTATTTCCGTTGGCCATTTTCAAATACAACTTTAAACACAATTGCAATGCGATCTTTGTTATAGCTTCAAGGGCAAACAGTCTGAATGTCACATAATAGAGATTCAAACACAAACACATATATCATGTGAAATCAACGTTTCGAATATCTGCAAAAGGCGATTCCATAGGGCGTAAAAGTAAAAGAAACAATAG